GCTCGGATTTTTAAGTCTTATAATACTTTGTAATTGTCCTGGTAATCCTCTAATAAACGTCCTTAAACAAATTTGATCGTATTGACGTAAATGAATTACTTTGCTTGCATTATCCATGGTATCGGCAGGAAATGCATTAATTTTTTGAGCAAGGATACTTCTTAAAACTTGTAATCTTTTCCCAAAATCTAAAGGATGTTCATTTTTAAAGGGGGTGGCCATAAACAAATCCTGTTCTAAACATTCTAAGTTTCGTCTATCGCCAAAACAATTTAACAAAGCTACTTTAATATTGTCCCACGTTACTAACTCCATTCTATAGCCTACCAGAATTTGTGCGCGATCAACAAGTTTCATTCTTATAGTCCTTAACAAATATTGTTTTAAAATTTCGTCGTTTCCTTGGCCATATGTATCAAAAAGGAAATCTCCAGCTGATAGAAAACTACTTAAAGTATTGCAATCACCATTATATGGCAGAATACTATCTATAAACATTTTTAACAAAGTGTAATTTACACCTGAATTCGACGATTGATTAGAATTCATTTTCAAATTGATTTGACTGTTCTCTACTTTCTTTTCCACTAAATTTAACGAAGTAAAAAACGCACTTAAATTGTCGACGTCTTTATCTTCGTTCATAAATTTAATTGATTTTGAAATTTCTTAAAATTGAACTTAAAACTAAGAATCCTTAAATTATTTCCACCGTCCTAACCAGGGAAGATGAAAGGAGAACAATAGGAATTTTGGGCACTAACCTTGATTTCTCTTAGTCGTCAGCCTATTCTTCCTATTGGAATTTTCCTTGCGTAGCACTGTTTGCGGGGGTGATTTCTTGCCTTCCTTGCCCTCAGTCGAACTCAATCACGTTGGGTTTGTCAGACAGTCTATCACAGGTTCGTTTTGGAGTTTAAGGGTTGAAACCCACGTTTCGCAATCAAATCGTCCCGATGACGTGGCTTTGACCGAAAACTACCCCAAATCCGTCACGACTGCGCCAGTTAAGGTTTTCGAACGAAGGATCTCGTTTTTAAAAAACACTTTTTTGTTTTACAAACAGAACTACGAGGTTTTATTTAACCCGCTACAAGGAGAACTAAACGCAAAGTACAAAGTTGTCATATATATAAAGTTTTTAGCCAAGCGTAGCGTCGCTGGTACTTAGAATACTGAAGCTAGCATTTCTTGTTAGTCATCAGCATATTCTATCACATAATTAACAATACATTTTGTTTCTTATTTGCCTTGATTTCTTTAAAAACAAAAAAGTTGCAGCCTATTAAAATATTATCAAGATAAATTGAACGCATGGCACAAAATATTGTTCAGTTTTTGAGTTTGTCAAACGTGGAAGTGACCTTAAACAAGGCACTCACAACACAACTTAAGGCAAATGAAAATTTGTTTCGTTAATTAACAAACTACAATTAAGGTGCAACAACGTACCATTAATAAGTTTCTTTGCGTAAGGGCATTTTCGCGAGCGTGAGTGGAAAAAATTATTTACCTTTTACTATTGTCCATGCACACACCACTAATTATTTACATTACGTCTATTAGTCGATTTTATCTTTTCGCGCTCTACGTTTTTTTATATCCCAGTGGTATCTCGAATGGTAAATAATCGCGTGTTTCAGACAGGGCCGGGCTCATTCGATTCAGGTCCCTAATATGTTTGGAGAAAGCATAATGTGAAAAGATACATATTATGGACATCTTTTCAATTTTGAATTCTACATTTTTGAAAATTAGTTATGATCCGCCTCAAAGTATATCTTGACTTTTGACGGCACTTGTCGAAACTGCGAATAAAACACCAGACCGGTGAATCGGCACTTAAATATGTACGTTTTTTGTCTAAGAGATTTTACTGAGATCAACCCATCCTTTGGATAATATGTCGTGTGTATAGAACCTTGTTTCGTCGACATCTGTTTCCTGATTAATTAAGTAATTAATATTCCAAGTGAGCACTTTGGGCGATTCCATAAGTACTTGTCTTTTGTCTATTTTGGGGTATTTAAATTCACTTTTAAAAATAACTTAATGGAGGGTGGCATGTCAAATAATTATATTGGTCTCATCTTCTTCTAGCTTTCTTTTAAGTTTATCTAAAGTATCACCAATCTAGTTTCTTCTGGATATGGATATTTTCCTTATGATTCCAGGCGATGAGATTGATAATCACAACGTTTTTTTCTTCACTCTTGTCAAAATTCTTTATCGAGGATATTGGCGTTGTTGTAATTACATAGGTTTCTTTTAAAGCTTCTTGTTTAATGAATCCTCCACATATTGTATACAGTTTTTTTTTATTATATACACATTTTGCAAAATAATTTATTTTGAATCTAATGCCAAATAATTCCGACACGATATAACTGAAAAATTGGTGATAAGTAAGAATCTTTTTCAAAACGCACAGTAAAATGGGTTATTCATCTATCACATGTAGCCTACCTGTCTCTCCCCTGTCTTGATCCCTATCTATAAATTATTGGTTGTTGGGGAACATTAGGAATAAAGGTCATATTTTTTTTTGGGGAGGGTCCATCAGAAGCCAAGACGATATACATTGAGATACACCATACATGTTTTAATATGTGTTTTATTTATTGTTTTAAAAGAACATAGTAATATTCTATCCTATGGAAACTTGATTGATTTTTTCCCTATATTTTTTATTTTTCACTATTTCTTTTTCTAATACATAATTAATTTAATCTATTACCACAGATCAGCCTTTAGAAATAAAGGATCGGCAATATTCAGACACAAAAAATTGTGTGCCATTATCACTTAACTGTTCAAAAATCGCGCTACCTTTCTTTTTAGGATGCTACGTGACCGAGAATACCCGAGTGAAATTTAATCGAAAATCTCGATGCCTTAGAGCCGAATCCGGGAAACAATTGAGACTAATTAATGAAAATGGCTCCACCAAATAATGGGTTTTAATTTCAACTGATGTGTTTATGTAACTTGTTTATAAAATGAAAATATTAACTCGGCCCCGGAAATTTCCGTAACATTTCCCAGAATATTTGAGGCCGTTGCTACGGAAGACATATTTCGTTCAGTTATTAATATTGGAAATTCTACAAGATTGTAAAGGTAAAATAAGTAGCAACAATTTTCCAAGATTATTCTATTTGAGAGGTTTAAGGAAAAATTTTGCAGTTTAATCGAACAAGGAACGATATCTTGCCTACCGATCGAGATATAGGGCGTTTTTCAAATGCCTCACCCAAACCCATTGACGATCTGTCATGTCTGGTATGTTATCGTCTCTCATCAGCATAGGTCTAGCTTCTATATTTCTACTAGCTATACGGGTTTTTGGTTAGTCCGTCTTGAAAATGGCGCTTTATATCGTTCCTTGTTTCTGTATACATAGTACGTTCATTCGTGTGGATCGATATCTAACGGATGAATTCTCTCTGCTGGGATGATTCATAGTGCGAGACGTTTTGGATGGTTGGGAGAAAGGAGTAAATCTAAATGGTGTCAAAATCTCTACGTTTCACAGATGGCACAACACTGGCTTCTTCTCCAGATGAAATTGCAACTATTCTGAAAGTTCCAAGAGCGACAATGACCCAACTCACCAGGGTATGGAGGGACTAACATGTCACCAAGAACAGCAAGGTGAGACTTGTTACAACCATAGTCTTTTCTATTTCCCAATATTCATGCGAGACCTGGGCGGTTAAGGATTCCGATTGGTAACGCCTTTGATATATGGATATGGAGAAGATTACCACGAATTCCCTTTACAACTTATTTAACAAACGTTTCGGTTCCTAATGAAATCAAACCCAAATAATATCTTTTGAGTATAGTTTACTCCAAAATTTTTAAGCTATAACCCGCATCCGACCACATAACTGATGACCGTGACCGATGGAAAATCATCGAGATGTCTAAGCTGCTGAAGCTAAACAATGAACCACAACAAATCTGCCAAGATGTAGCTGTCAATGTCGACCAGTTTCTTATGAAGCTAGATCCAACGTGATTAATCACTTCACTAACATAGTGTATTATGCAATAAGTGCGGTAAACGACATTTGACTCACGAGTTTATTTGATACGAGCGGAGCGCAGTTTACCGAACATGTTGCATACTATACTTTTTCCACGACCGTTAGATTTTGGGTACATTTTTGCAAAACGTCACGAATATATTCACTGACATGACCGTTATAATTAACAAACGTCAAAATTCAAGGCGTGGGAAATATCTCCGAAAACATCCGATTGTTCCCAATCCAGTGCCGTAAAATCCCGGAAATGACCGAAGTGGCTCGGATCCGTGGAAAACGAAACTGACGTGCTAAAGTGACGTTTCTCACAAGCTAGGTCGGTGTCTAATTAGGCATTTTACAGACGGGAATAGAAAAACAGCTTTACAAAACAATTTTAAATCTCGTCCGCCGCTGCCTTGTCAGAAATGCGGGGGCATAATCCAAGTAAACTTAAATAATGGAACGAAACCATTATCTGAAAAAGCTCACACAGGAAAACTTACCCAAACTTTTGCGTGTACCTAATATTGATAATTATACTAATTTTTTTTTTAATTTCATTTTTACTTTTTTTTTCATCAAAATTTTTTCCCTTAAAAAAAAATTACTTAGGTATTTTAAATGTTCAAATTTTGGGTGAAATAATGTAACATGAGTAAGCAGCCTATAATTTATATGATAGGCGGGAAGAATTTTCTTTTAATGAAGGTATATTATTTATTAAGACTTTGTTAAATCTCGAGCATCACAATCCAACGTAGATGTTAACTATTAGACCGTAACAAAGTTACGATAACGTTATATATATCGACACATCAGGTAATAAGCTTTGCGGGAAATAGCTGTCTGGACCAGATATTGTATGTTCCTGCCAAGGATATAACAATTACGAAGTTAATAGCAAGGTCGCTTTTAATGGAGGTCGATTTTACTTGCTGAAAATTTATTTAGCACTTAAGCATTACAATAAGCGCGTGGTTCTCAGTAATTAAGAAACTGATGCGAATAACCAAGAATGTGTGTGCATGTGTGTGTATTTTATTACCCCCCTTATATGGCCAAGACTGCAGAATTTTTTTTAGATTTCCAAGATGGGATACCAGGGTGAGTAAGGATCATCTTAAACTATCTTTTTAAACGCTTTTTTAAGTATCTATTAAAATAAAAGACTAAACCGATTTGATCAAATTTAGTCTAAAAATTCTCTAAAAAAAAGGCAATTATATGACTTATTTTAGAAAACTGACCGAAATATATACCCACCCAAGCAGTTTATTTTATTTTGCATATTCTACGGTCATCTTATATCCGTCACCCAACTTAAGGACTGAGTTTTCAGTTGTGTTGGTAAAGTTTCATTTGTTCTTACGTTAAGCAAAGTGTAAAACCAAAAACAGACATACAAAATTTGCTATAAAAAAATCGATGATTCCTTATTTCCAAACCTCTACCCGTCGAAGAACTACATTAATTATAAATGCGCTGGTCAGAGTAAAATTTCGAAGTGGAAGTTCGATTATGGGTTTCTCCTTCGTTTGTTGTTGATAAATCGAAATTGCTGGCGTTTCGCCAATCATCTTGTTGACTTCTTCAGAACATAAGTGAAACTGGTTTACATTCTACTCCATACTGACAAAGGATGAAACCAGAAGATGTGTAAATAAGCTTCTAAATATTTTGTACTGCTTTAAATAATTAATAATAATAAATATTTGATCAATGAACATTTAATAGTATCAGTGATATAATTGGTTTACTGATTAATGCAGGAAGCTCCATTTCGTGTATAAATATGACAATATACGTCAATCGTCTTCTGCTATATTCCCTTTTGTTTCGTTCTCAGTGGGCAATTATAAATTTCCATTAAGACATTCGTCTCATTCAAATGCTCTGCGCGATTCGAATTCAAATACCATTTTGTTGTATTGCATCAGATTCATTAGGTGTTGAAGAAAATTGTACGCTAATTTAAAAGTGGACAAGTAAAACCACCTTGCAAAATCATAAACGAAACTCAAACAGCACTGCCATTATTGGACCAAAGTGACATCATTCAAGCAATGGATAATGATATTTTCGTAGGAGGTCTGTCTTTTAGCTAAATCTATAGCTAATAAATAGCTAATTTAGCTAAATCTCCATCAGACTCAGGAGAAATTGAATCGAAGAAAATTCAGTTTCAAGTACTATTTTCATGAGTTTTTGTGCAAAGTGAATCAGAAAATGAACCATTCCTATAGAATTTATTCATGATAGCACACAGAAATTCTTAATATGGAGAAGTAGGTAAAATATCTGCTCGCTCTTCGTGAAATCAATAAAAGATAATAAAGGCAATAAAACCGCTTTGGGTTATTCATTCGCTTCATTTAATAACCTTATAGCAATGCGTTCATTCTATGTCATATTTCCTAAATTATGAGTTTCGATTAAACAAGTTTATGATATTGGATTTTTTAAATTTCTTTATTTTATTGATCTCGTTGATAAACCGGCCTGGCTAACTTTATCAAAAGCTTTGCTACATGAATATGTAAATTAGACAATAAACCTCTTTTTTATCCCTAAAAAAGGAAAGCCGCGAGACGTAAATCGCGGAGGTCACGCTTTCTGTCCACCTACCTAAATTGCAAAAATAATAAACTGTAATAAAAAATATGTATGTCAGTATGTCAATAATCTCAACTCGTTTTTTCATAATAGAAGGAAAGTCTAAGTTCTGCACCTCCCTCCCTCCGGAGATGTTTGGATATCAAAAGAATTTTCAAGATCTTCGGAGAACGGAGGGTGCAAAAGTTAAGATTTCCTTCTACTCCTCATGGTCAGAAAACACGCGACTACAATCACAAATTTTTGCCTTTTGTAAAACGAAAAACAATAAAAAGGTTATGATCTGATTAATGAGAATTTTGATTAGGACATTTGTGACATTAACTAGTAATTAAAACTCTGCACCCGAATTCTTATTTGACAAGCGTTTCTAAGAGTACAAAGAACAACGAATTTAAAATCAGAAAAAATATGCATGTGCAGTTAGAATAGGATATGTGTGTTAGCTATGTCAAAGGACTGTCGAATCTACTTTAAATATAATATGATTAGCATGCCATTATGCCAATATTAATCAAAGCTACAAAATTTCGATAAAGGATAAAAGGATTAACAAGAAAATACTGAACTTTCGTGTTTATCAAGCATGATTTGACATATTAGACACACATCATAATTCGATATCAAATTAATTCATTGGGGCTTATAACAAAACTCCATAAAGTTCCAACTTTCAAAAACTTCTATTTTTCCAAATAGAAGTTTTTGAAGGACGCTCAGTTAATTAAATAAATCTTTATGAAAGTCGGGCTGCAAAACCGAATTTACCGAGCGAGGTGTTGATAGTTAAAAGTTAGATACTGGAAAGTATTTTATGAATTCAACGGAATAGGCGTCGGATATCTCCTTTGGTCATCTCCTCGTGTCTCATTACGTGCCGTTTTCGTATTTTGCTTTGTTATAGTCCCAGAGCTGGCTGGAAAAGAAATACAAATATATAATTGCCATAAACCAAGCACAGTTACTATTCACATCTCTATCGAATGCTGCCTAACATTAGTCGAACATCATTATTTTGGAAGGTGCATTCGACAATGTCACCCCTTGGTAAAAATTTCTAATTAAAAAAAAAGTGTAACGAAGTTAATAACGTGCCAGTGCTAGGTTTTGCAGCAACATAAGTGTTACAATATCATTAAGATATAACCCCATGTATAAAATATTATACGAATTATTGGACAAGAAAAAGAAAGTTCTGTTCGTTAATGGTTATATGTTCATTTGAATTTTTATATATTCCTTTATGTGTATTAAATGTGAATGAATATTAGCTTTCCGAAATTTTGTCCGCTATCTCTCGCACTAGCTGCCCCGCGTTTAACTTAAACCATCCCTCACTTCTCTACTCAATATTTTATATTCAAAAAGAAGTAGTGTCCTAGCATGTCAAATCCGGGCCCAAATTGGTCTTGAAAACTTCTAACAAGTGAACCGGTCAGAGGAAAATTGGTATAAATCATATGTGACTTTGGCTCATATTGGTATAATCTATTCAGTATATCAGCTGCTAAATAAGTGATATAAATAAAAGCTAAATTATGTATAAGTTTTCATCGTTATTTGTCAGGAAAATATCACCATATAAGTATATTATCTGATTTAAATAAAACCTGCTTTTGGTTAGTGTCTAATATGTTATATATGTATGTTATGTATAATTAGCAAGAACTGTTTACCAATACTTACTATTTTGATACCATATATCTAAACTATCAGTGAACGCAAAAACCGAAAAAGTCTGTATTTTAATTCAACAAGTGTTATCACAATGTTTATTATTATTATTATTATTTCGTACAAATTAATGCTATGATTCATTTCTCAAAACATCTGTCTAATATATCCGCAGGAATTGCAGATATTAAAATCTCGTATCATAAATGCTTGCGGTACTAAACTAACTAACCAACTAAGTAAATTAAAAATATTATTATATGTTTATTATTAATATTATTTTTAGTAGGTCATCGAATTAATTTTTGGAGCTGTTACGAAATAGTCCATTAATTATTAGCATCTGCGACCTCGACGTATTTACGCATCAGCTTTGATAACTAAATTTGTTGGGTTCGTTAGACATTCTATTAAGAATTTACAAGCGCGAAGAGCAGCTAACGGGCAATTTCTGCTAGCTACATCTAAAAGCTTATGAATATTTGACTAGCTCTAAATGCATGGAGTTGCATGTTCTGGGAGCATACGTTCGCGAGATAACTTTAGCGAAAACTTTGTTAGTTTCTTGAAATTCGGTTTTAAAAATGTCGAATATATTGCTGGAGACTGAAGTAACTCCTTACTAACAGCGTTGGAGACGGTACTCGCCAAAAATAATTTATTACTACTATTAATTATTACTGCTATTTTTTTGAAACTGGTACTGATTGCCAAGACTAAAAATATTATTAATGAGTCTCCTTTACTCACCATTGGACCATATTCTATAAGATTATTCAGGTCGCTTGGAAAAATTTATTCAAAAAACAGGCTCTAATAAGGTTCAGTTTGGGGGTACATGTTTTTGTATATTTATAAAATTATATTCATATTGTACATGATGTTAATAATATGCGACACCTTTACCTTTACTTTTTTTTTAAATGTATTTCTGTTTTCCAGATTATAATCACTTTTTATACTGTACTTATTTTGACATAATAATTTAGTTATAGGGAGGCCAGCAGGTAAACTCTTTTGGACTGAATTTTCTCATGTGAAATTTTAAAGATTTTTTAGTTCTGAATTTTTACAATCTACAATCTACGTCTTTACTCAACGTATATTTCTAATTATGTAAATCAAGTACAGGTAGGTGCATTGTAATTTGTAACAATTAACAAGTTTATCCTTTTCTTCTTCCAAATTTTAACCTGATCAGTAAATAAGTAAATTTGAAAATTTTATTGCTCAACGTTCCCCTGTACCCATGGATACAATTTTATACTAAAGAAAAATAATTACCTTTTATTGAAGTTTACTTTTAGCTCTGTTATTCGAATTAACTGTCGTAACACACAAGTGACAGTTTTCAGATCTATTGTCAGTCGCATCAAGCGTAAAATTTCTGTCTTTAAGTATCTATTAATTTTGAAATTATGAGCAGAGGTTGTGACGAACGTCATACATCAAAACTCAAACTCCATATAGAGCAGAAAGAGAAAATTACTCTCACTAGTGCTCCGCACCTGCCAGAAAGTTGCAGTGAAAAATCATCGGCGTATTCTATACGGACAAAGAAATTAGGAGGTGAATCCTCCCATGGAGTATATCCAGAATTCCTTCGAATGTTTGGACCGAAGCATGCACAAATATGCAAGTCATTTGTACCTACTGTGCTTCAATACAGTTTGGCCACAATCCTATTAACATGCTACGTCTGTGAGTGGAAGGATGTTCTCCAATACCTTCCATACTACAGAGACAAATACAAAGAAGATTAGACCTTCAGAACTTGTTCTGTTTTTTCAACCACTGATTAACTGAAAAACGACGAT